AAATAGACTTTAAGAAGGTAGAAGCGGTTATTAATTAGGAAGTTTTAAAGAATAGGCGATAATTACAATAGTTCTTAGGGTTTATAAATTTCTATAGAAAGTTTATTACGGGTTTCTCCTATATAAGTAAATTATTTTATAAATTTATAAAGAAAATAATCGATTAGAAATAGAATAAGAAATATAATAATACTTTTAAAGTATTGAAGAAAATATTTATATCCACTCTAGTACTAAAGATCTACGATTAGAAGAAATTAATAATCGTTAAAGTAAACGTTTTAAATTAGTTAATAAGTAATATATTATTTTAAATATATAACAGCGAATTGTATTTAATAGCTTATTTTTCAATTAAATATTTAGTAGCGGAATGTAACTATAATATTTATAATAAAGAATTATTAGTAGTTATTAAAATATTGGAGGAGTAGTATTTAGAATTAGAAGGAATTACCTAATTTTTTAAGATTATTATAAATTATAAGAATCTAAAGACGTTTAGAACAATTAAGAAGTTTACCCCTAGGTATATAAGGTAGTCCGAATTTTTATTAAAATTTAATTTTATAATTAAATACCGATTGGGTTTAATTAATATTAAACCTAATGCTTTAAGCCGGAAATTAGAGTATATATTTAGGGATAAGGTAGACAATAGGTTTAAAGTAAGGTAGAAATTATTTATTAACCTAAATTATTTCGATCCGTCGTTCGAAGATAGATAGCTTATAAATATTAATAGCGAAGGGTTTATAGTAAATAGTATATCGGTAGAAGGAGCTCCTCTTATAATATATATTTTAAAAGATAATTTCGAAGAGGACGATAGATTAGGTATTTATATAAATAATTTAATAGATTATACCTATATTAATTATTTAATAATAGCCGATATCCGAAAAGCTATTTAAATAGGAAATTATTAATTAAAATATTTAAAAAGGAAATTAAAAATCCCCTTCGTTAAATACTATATAGTTAATAATAGAGTAATATTCCAGGATAGGTTGATAGTACCCTTTAACAATAATAAGGTTCAATTGGAATTAATTTATTATATTTATTCGTTAGTATAAGGAGGCTATTTAAGAAGGGATAAAACGGTAGTACTAATATACTAGTATTTCTAATTAGGGATAGTAGTAGTAGTAAATATATATTATAGAATATATATCTTATATAGTAAGATTAAGGCTATTAGAATTTTATTAGTAGGATTTTTTAAATTTTTACCAATTTTTTATGCCTTATAGAGGGATATATCCATTAACTACGTAATTCCGTTCCTAAAGTTAAAAAGAGTAGGTAGAGGGGTCGAGTATTAATATATATTGGTTGTAGTAGATAGATTAATAAAAATAAGGTATTTTATTTTAATAGAAGGGTTATTTATAGAAGAATTAGTAAAAAAGTTTATTAACTATATTTATATATTCTACGGTTTTTTAGATACTATTATATTTAATAGAGGCGTCCAATTTGTATTAGTTTTTTAGAAGTAATTATTGTAGCGGTTAGGTATTAAATTGAAGCTTTCTATTCTTTACTATAAAGAGATAAATAGATAGACCGAAAGGATTAATACCGAAATAGAATAGTATTTGCGGATATTTATTAATTAGGTATAAAATAATTAGGTAGATTAATTGCCTCTAACCGAATTTTAGGGTAATAATTTAAAATCAGTATTAATAGGGGTAACCCTATTTTTTATTAATTACAATTTCTATTCTAAAATAGGTATAGAATTATCAATACTATTACCTTTAAATATTATAGACATTTAGCGAAAGTAAATTTTTAATACTAATTAACTAGTAGTACGCTTTAAGAAAATATAGGACTTTATTAAAACGTCCTCTTTATAAATATAAAAATAGTACAAAGTAGTAATAAATAAAAAACGAATAAACGCCCCTAAGTATAAAATTAGAAATGAAGTAATGTTTAATATAAATAATTACGCTATAGGTTGCCTTTATAATAAATTGGCTCCCCGGTTCGAGGGGCCGTTTCGTATTATAAAGGCTAGCTCACACACGGTTGAACTAGTTCTTCCCTAAAATATGAAGGTTACTTATATTATTAATATATTTTGCGTTAAGCTTTATGTTGAGGGATTCCCTAGTTAAAGGGAGTTAATAATAAATATTAGGGTAAATAAGGGTATAATTATTATTAAAATAAATAATTTTAAAAAAGATAGGTAATAGGAGTTCGAGGAGTTGTTAAATTATTAAAAGATTGAAGGTTCTTAGAAGTATTTAATAAAGTAATTATACTACCTATTAAATTAGTAATTAATTAAAAACTTCGATAATTATTAAGAATTAGTTTAGTAATTTTATAATAATTACCCGGAATTCGGCCCTTTATACTTAAATTTTAGGAAAGGTTAGAAAATATAGCGAAAAATAAGGATAATTTAAGAGGACGAAGTATAACTCCTAATCTTAACTACGGTAGTACTAGTAATAAATAACCGGTAAGTAAAAAGGAATATAAAATTAAATAATAAATAATCTCTCCGCTAGTAATTAGTATTAATAGGAAACGATGGATATGTAAATATAAATACGAGATTGAATAATAGTAAAAAGAAAGGAATTTAATTTAATTTATTTTATATACCCTAATTAAATACCTTATAATATATCCTTTTATAGAGTAATTATTAATAGTATTAAAAGATAGTATATTTTACGGCGGTCTTACGTCTCCTATTCCCTAGATCGGCTATATACGTAATTAATATTAAGATTTAAAAATGAAAAGAATTTAAGAGTTTTTACGGATTAGTAATATAATAATTAAGTGTTTGAAGAAAAAATAAATTATAAGTAGGGAGTTGAATATACGAGCTCCTTAATATTTATATTAGTAGCGGCTATGGGCGTCCTACATAAATTATTATATTACGGACGTCCCTATAGCACCCCCAGTAGGACTAGTAATAGTGAGAGTTATTAAGGTTCTCTATATACGATAATTAGAGCGTTTTAAATTAATTCCCGGTATATAAATAGATTATTAAGGGTAATAATAGCTTTTACGGTGGAAGGGTCGGATTTGGCGATGTTTTGGTTAGTATTCTACCCTTAAGCGGGAGTTAAGGTACTGGCGGGCGCTAAGTAGCTTCCCGTTTTAATAAAATTTTTGTTAGTACTTAATTGGGCGTAGCTATAGGGAGGCCGGTAGGGCCCGCTTTATTAATAATAACGGATTTTTCGAAGGGAGCTTCGTTTTAAAGGAGGGTAGTATCACAGGCATTGCTACTATGTTCCTATATATAGATGGGTGCTGCACTGTAGTAGTGCAGCCAGCTTATAGCTGTCTAAGTATAGTGCAGCAGTTACGTGCACTTACGTACACGCGTGTTGTAGTCCGTGTATTGGATCTACAGCGTACCCTACATAGTTCTCGTGCGCGCACAGGATTCTCTTCCTGTTCCTCGCACAACAATTAAAGTCTTACCTTAGTGCTTGCTCGCGCCCCGTGACACTAATACCTTCCTAGTTGAGTTCTTATAGGGGGCAAACGCCTATAGCCTTTGGATATACGTAATAAACGCTTTCGTAATAACTTTCCGAAGAATAGAATACCTTTTATAGCTATAAGCGAAATATCCCTTCTTTCTATACGGTTTATAATAGATAAATAACTAATCTTTATTAAATAGACAATATACTTTACTAAAGTAATTTCCTTTATATTTAATTTCGCTATACTAGGTATAAATACTTTCTTAATAATAGAATTTCGCTATATATTTAATTCCTTAATATTTATAATATTATTAAATGTTATTTGAGGTTTAAAATAGTTTGAACGGATATATACCGCCGTTTTGGGAGAAAGGATTATCCTAAAAAAAGTACGCTACTAATACAATAGCGACTTCTATTAAGAATAGACCTCTATTCTTTCTATTCTTTTTTTTATAGCCGAATTCTAATAATAATCACCTCCGTATTTCCTTCCCTCGCCACTCTTATTAAAATTTCCACTATAATATAATTATGAATATTAGTTTAGAATATACTTTGGACTAGTATACCTATAGTATTTATAATAATAAAGGTATCCGGACTAAAGACTTCTTTAGTCTATATTTAATTTTACTAATATTAATTATATCTCAATTTATTGAATATAAATATATAATTTCCAATTATTAGTATTTTAATAATTATACGGATTATTAGGCCGGGTTTCTTCTTACTTAAATTAATAATCAGGGTTATCTTTGTATCTTCGTTCGAATAATTTACAAATTTAGTAATAATCATCGCTCCCTTGATTATAAACTGCTATTTAAAATTAGAAGGGGTAAACTTTTTAATAATAATAGTAGGTAGTTATTAGTGGGTAATACCGATCTTAGGATAATTTTTATTATAATATTGGTTTCGTACTTCGGTACCTTCTAGGCGCCTTTCTTAATCTCCTTCAGAATATCCTTCTTCAAATTGTTGAAATCCTTCTTAATAATAAATTAATCGGTTCCAACTTTATTAATTTCGGGTCGTAGGGACCTACTTTTTCAACGCGTACCTTTACGAATTGGAGAAGTAATTTTCGAAATTAATATTAATCTTTGGTCGAAATGGTATTGTAGTTTATAGATTTATTCGTTTTAATTATAAATATCTTTAATATTTTATTATTTTCTTCCGTTTTTTCCGAAGTCTTTGTAGTAAGTACGGTTTTAAAGTTATTATAAATTGCGATTTTTGCGAGCGGGTTATAAATGCTATTTTCGAACCTACGAGTACCGTTATTGATAGTTATTAGTAACGACGATGTGATATTATCGTTGCGCTTGTTGTAAGATATTGTAAGGGATGTAAACGACCCTCCCAAGTCGATTGCCGTTGTCAGTTTTCGTTTTGGAGCACTCCTCGACCAGAAATCGGCGTTTCCGGTTTCGGCGTCGTTTTTCAGCGGTAATTATTTACAAATAGAAATAGTTCTAAATAAATATAATTAATAACTATTATTGTATATATTATAGCTGTAATAATAGCCGTATTCCCAATAACTCTTTTTTCTTTAATACCGATAATAACCTTAATTTCAGTAATATACCCGACTTTCTACCAACACTCAACCAAATTAAAGAACAACTTATTACTCAAATACATATCTTTATCAACATTTAAATAATTAAGGAATCCTAATACAAATACTCTGATTATATTATTAACTTCCTTCGTAATATTAGTCACGTTTATTACCAATTACCCTTACTTTCCTACAACCTCAATATTATTATCCTTCGCCCTCGCAAAGCTAAAGATGAACCCTGTATTACTAGGAACATTAAATAAACTATAATAATTAACCCAAATAACCTTCGTACCCAACATTACTTTGTAAAGGAAAATTATCCTAAATACCAAAATATTAAAATTATTCAAATTCAATTTAAAGAATTAACAAACCTTCCTAATAACAGTACCTATAATAATTTAATAGTATATTAAAATCGACCCTAATAACTTCCCGGATAACTAAGATCTTGACCTCAATAGAGAAGGCAATAGCAATTGAAATAAAGAAGGCAATCCTAATAATAATAATAATAATAATAACAATAATAATTTTAATCCTAAAGTCGCCGCTCTCCCTAACCTTATAATAAATTAGGTAGAAGACCACCTACTACAACTCAAACTAATAATATACCGGTTCAACCTACTCCTAGCCAATACCCTCCTACTTAACTATTTATTAAACCCGACCCATTATACAATACTCCAATATATAAATAGAATAAATTATAGCGAATTCTTTCCTAAACATTTCTAACACTTTATTCTCAAGGATAAACCGACTTTATTAAGCCCCGGATCCGATTTATTGATTTCGACGAAAATATTCAATATATTTTAAAATAATATAATAGAAAATTTATACAACACTACCACTTCCCTTTTATGATATTCAATACCTTAATATATTAACAAATTAACCTGAAGTTGGCTTTCTTTATTCGCTCCGGTCGTAATAATACAAATAATAAGGGTTTAACCAATATTAAAACATTAAACGAAGCGGTTAAAACCAATACTCTAAAAATATATTATTTTTTTAATTCGGTTATAAAGTTCTATAATACTGTACGGAGTACCCGACTATACTAGATACGTAGAAGCCGTAAACTACATACTTATATATAAATATTAGGTATACCGGCCATATTATAATATTTAATACGGCCAATATACATTGGGAAAACCTTATTCGACATATGCCCAACTATAATAAATAGAAAATTACTTCTACGGACGGCCAGAAAAGGACTGCAAGAAAAAATTTAAAAGGAAATCCGTATATTACAATATATTACCTCGAAAGATGGTTTAAAATATTTAAAAAGCATATTTTGATTTCCACAATCAAAATTGAAGATTAGTAATACCGTATCAAATTCTAGGCAAGAAGCAATAACTATAATCATAGTATATATTAGGTACTATATATCGAAGCACTTAAATTAACGGATGAAAATACCCGGTGGGAATTTTTAAAACTATAGAATTATTATATAACTACCTATAACCTGGAGCTAGAAAGAATTATTTAATAAAATACAGGAGATCTTCTATCTAATAATTATTAATAATAATAATAGCCCGGAAGAAGGTGTTTACCGGCCTACCTTTAACTTCCTTTCTTATATAATCAATTAGATATAATAATATAGCTAGTATACTAACAACTATTACCTTCGTATTAAATAGTTTAATTAAAGTACTATCTACCCTAAGGATCTGATACTCAAAGTATACCGGTTTTACTTTCCTAAGAATTACTACCTAGAAGCTTACCTTATATATAGTCTCAACCCAAAGTATTAACTATACAATAGGGTAAGAAATAATAACCGTATAAACAACTACAACCACACTATTACCTTAGTATAGCGTACCAATACAAACATCCAACTATACACTAATTATAATACTATTATTAACTATATTACTAAATACTATTCAAAAACAGAGAAGTAGTTAAAGCCTTTTAAAGAGATTAATCAATAGATTACCCCCCAAATCGCTACCAATAACTATACTATCTCCTTCGCTATAAAAATAATCAATTAATCAGTTATTAAACGAAATTAGTCCGCTTAAGAGATTAATTATCTTCTTCTAAACTTACCCCTAAATTAGAATATTCGTATTATTATTAATATAGACTATTGTTATCCTAATAAAATACCCGGACAAAGCGCTAATATAATTATTAAACCGGGTAATTAATAAATCCAAACCCGCAATCTATATACCAAATACCTTATTTACTCTAATAACCTAAGAAATATTAATCATTTCGAATAGTTCATTCAATTTAATAACAACTATCGTCTCGGGGCTTGGGCTAAAAAGAAGGTACTCAACTATTACTTAATTTATAAATACGATAACGATACTTAATATAAAAACTAGTATAGAGACAAACTTATATTGTATTACCCCTATTGTAGTTGATTAGATCTATTTAATGTTCAAAACCCAAACCCTGATAGAGTTTATTAAAAATTAGAAATATATTCTAATAGGTATCTAATCTACACTAAAATTCATACCGGTAATTATAACTACCGTTATAATTATTATAGTAATATACCTAATAGTAAGCCTAATAATGGATTCGAACCCCCTCTTTAAAAAGTAAGATAATAAAAACTATAGCAAATTCTGGCTAGAAAGCTCCCCTATTATTAATAAATTAAGAATAATAGTGATTTCGGGATACTTGGGTTCCGGGATTTGGATATTTCATACAACTAGCATAACTGTCTAGAATATTAAACTTTATTCGAATTATAATATAATTATTAGATTAATATAAAGGTTAATAACCGTTATTCAATAGCAGAAAATACCCTTACTATTACTGCCTTAACTATTAACAATCTCAATCCAGCCTAGAAGGTTATCTTTAATCAATTTATTACTTATTACTAATTTATTCTAAATTACAATAATAATATTCAACAACTTTTACATATCCTACCTCTACTTCTATAGGTTAATAGACGTAGGGGTACTAACAAATCGTATTTTATTCGTCTTTTATCCTTCGAATTAGAATGAATAGCTATAGTAAGAGGCAAAGGAAATCCTATTATTTGTAGTACTCTAATTAGGGTAGTAATTAATAATATCAATGGCTAAACGTTATATTCGCTATTTAAACTCCTTATCGCACCCAAGAACATCAACTAGAATAATCTAGAAATAGCTATTACCGCCTTAGAAGGTGTTAATTTTACTAATTTACAGCGAAGACTCCGGCCATTTCAATATTTCGTTATTAATAAAAAGTCAATACTAGGCCTTCGAACACTCAACTTTATCAACTAAAAACTTCGACAAACTCTCCCTAAAAACTAAAGTTAAATATTTAGTAGAAGGAATATTCTTCTACTTAGTAATTTCTATCAATTAGTACCAATTAAATAGAAACCTTTTTTCTATAATTCATAGGAATTACTAATTATTAAACCTATTAATCGTACTTATTAATATATATTTAAAAAAACCGTCGAATTACAGCAGATTGTATGGCAATAGGGTAATAATCAAGCGCCATTCAGGAATATACTTAACGAATTACGAAATAATCTTCCAATCTACTAATATTAGGACTTATTAAAAATACAAACTCAAATACTACTACCGTAAGAAGAGTAAAATAGGTTTGCTAATATTCTTTATATTTATCCTAAACGCAAAAACGTAACTACCTACAACATCCAACATATAGAAACATTACAACAACTATATCATATATTAAAGGCATAATACAAAGAAGTCAGCGCTAAAAATATTAACCCCGCTAAAATCAATAATTTACAATTTAAACTACTATTAATACTTAATAGCCGGGTTATAGTTACTCAGAATCTTTAAATAAAAATTGATTTAATTAATAATACTTTGAATACTATTTTCAATATTATTTAAAATACCAACTTCCCTAATCAAAATATATATAATAAAGAACGTCCTTATAGAACTCCCTTTATAATCTTAATTAAATCTAATCGGTATATTAATCCTTACTACTTTCCTAACTAAAAAGATTAAGAAAGATTCCAAAATATAATCCCAATCTCCAAAATTACAAAGGACTTCCTATCACACCGGAATACTCAGTACAAGAGAACACAATTCCCCTTAGTCATTATATATACTATTACTATATACAAATCCTAAAATTCTACGCTTAATATAACTATACTAGATATTTCTAAGAAGGATTTTCAAACTAGGCTTACATATATAGCTTACTCTCGGGTCAAAACCTTACCAAACCTCATATTTAACAAGCCTATTAACTTAAACGCTCTATAAATAACCTTAAATTATACTTTTATAATACGGGCTACTAATAAGGTAAGAAGGTTACTAAAGAAACTTCCAGTCCCGGATATCTAAATACTAAAACTCCAAATACCCGGCATTACTACTTCCAATTTATATATATAAATATAATAAGAATTAACATTCCCCAACGTACTTGCTATTACTAATTGATAGTATTTATAATTACTCCTTCTATTTTATTTTATATACAGCATTTCTTTCTCTTTCTCTTTCTCGTTCTCGCCCTCTCCCTCTCCCTCTTTCTTTTGTATTCAATTTTTTATTACTTTCATCAACTATTAACTATATTAATTATTTTCGAAAATAATAATCTAAAGCTTAAACAACGCTTTGAAAATATTTCAAAAAAAGAAGGAAAGCGTTGTAATTTACTTACTATTAAGCACCAACGGACTTCTACTAATTAAATCGGCACTAAAATAATATTACTAGTTAAAAATAAACTTATCTACAAAGAAAAAACTACTAATCTTTCTTTTACTATTCATTTAAAATAATATATTACCCTCATTATCAATTACAATTCAGATTATTGTAACTCAGGTTTTAAATAATTAAATCTTATTGCTAACTTTAGAAAAAAAAAGGAATTCAATTCGATTTATTCCGTGTACCCTAATCGAATACTTTATAATATACCCTTTTTCAAAATATACCCTTTTTCAAAATAACTATCAATAGTACTAAAAGATAGTATATTTTATAACGGTTTTATATCTCCTATTCCCCAGAATAGCCCACACATAATCAATACTAAAATTAGAAAATAAAAAAGATTTAAGAGACGTTAATAGTATATTTCTAAGTATTTAAACAAAAAACTAATTACTAGTAAGGAATTAAACGTAAGAACTCTCTATATACTTATATTAATAGTAGTAGGAACGTCCTTTATATTATTATACTACGGGCGTCCCTATAGTACTCCG